ATTTTTTTTAAAAAATTGTAGAAAGTGGAATTGCAAATAAATCCACGTAAAAATTTTAATTTCGATATAAAAATTGAAACGAGTTATTCATTTTCAAGTAATTCGAATGATACTTTTTGTTAATTTCAAGTTCACTTACGTTCAACATTGCGTCGATGATGCAACTGGCAATAAGTTCATGTATAATATCGTGGCTGCACGTCTTATATCCATTGCGAAAATCATTTCAACGTACGTTGAAGAAATATGATGAATGGTGCGATGCATGCTTGTGCAAATTATTAAGTGAAGCGATGGAATCACGTGATGATTTGGTTAATTTAAAAATCTAACTTCAAGTTTATGAAAATTAAATTAAGGAATAGTTTATAAAATTAACAACTTGCCATCATTTTAAAGGAACCATATTGAAGTACTAGAAAGAAATTAATTATTGATTAAATATTCTGTTATTTTAAGTAATCCAATTCCTATCAACTTAATTAATCAAAATAATCAGCTACTACATGTATGATATCAGATTATTTAAAGTGTCGACAGCGCATTACTGAAACTGATACACTACCTGGATCATTTAAAATATTATTAGCAATAAATTATTAAAAATGCTGCTCTTAATCTATTTGTTAAAATGTTTATGTTGGATATCAAAAACGATTATTACGAACAGATGCATAGAAATAAGAATCATGATACTAGTAGGTTCATCATACAGCTAATAGATTTTGAATCCGAAGTTTGGTTCAATAATAATTCTAAATAAGTTCAGATTCTATCAGTTTGTCAGAATTCGCTATGTGAAGTAAAGCGATATGCAACAATGCAAAATGCCTGCGCGAGTTGTAAATTAATGATTTTCTTACTTCGTTGCTCAATGCAGAAAGATCAACGAGAGCGATTTAAGTATTGGTACAATCGATCTGCTGTTCTCGAGACGTTTATTTCACGTAAAATTAATCGCAAATTCGCTTTAGCTGCTCTGCTGAATTCTTGGCAAATACTGCTTGAACCACATATCAAGGTAAAATACTTTTCATAAAGTAAAATTCACTACAATATTTGACAGTTTACAAATTGCATATGGATATTACTTGTATAAAAATTTTATCTTTAGATTTCTAACTTGTCTGCAGCAAGAAAATATTCTCGTGACTTTTTACAAGAAAATAAATCTGAAAGAGAACCTCTGAATATTAGCGAAAATGTAGTTACAAGTGAAAAGAAGAAGAAGTCATTTTCTTCAGCTATTCCACTATCATCAGGTACTTTTTTTGGTCATATTTACTGTAACTAATGTTATTTTTACATTTTATATAAAAATGCTACCGTATCAATCTACCACATCTTTACATAAACAAATTCACAATGCCTTGAAGTATTATCATAAATGAATATCGTATCTTTGAAGTACATTTAAAATTGGATATAGATCAAAAAGCATATTTCTTTTATAGGAATGACCACAACGGATGATCCTACCCCAAAGCAACTGGATATCATATTGCCTGTATTCTTTTGGCCTTTATTTAAGGTAATTGCAGTTTTATTAAAAGTTAATCAATTGCTCCTAAATTAATCATTTCAGGTTATGAGAATAAGACAAAAAATTTGTATG